TGAGTGCCACTAATTGGAAGGTCGGATGTGCTTGCCTCTTCTCTCTCTCACTCTTCCTCCAGTCTATCATAGACAGTTGACTTTATAGGTACTTACTACGTATAGTGTAATCATTCATGTGGTGACTGGTTATTCCATTACATCATATATTATATATATATATATATATATATATATATATATATATATATATATATATATATATATATATATAATTTATTTTAGGATATTATACTGAATGCATGTAAAAATCGCTACATAATTGCAGTCAGGTTTCAATGTACATCTCATCAGCCAATTGTAAATTACTGGTGAGTGAACGATTTATTTAGATTTAAAAGGAAAATGCAACCTCTTTTTCTGAAAAAATGAAAAAGTGGGGGTGATAAGGCTTTATTCTGATCAACAAATCAATTTTTTAAAAATTTAAACTAAGCAAAGAAGCAAAAATTAAAAATTATTTTTTATAAATTGAGATATATATATATATATATATATACACACACACACACACACACACAACCAATGGATTTCTTACCTTTACTATATATATATATCTATATATATATACATGCACACACATATATACACACACACCAATGGATTTCTTACCTTTACTATATATACATGTATATATATATATATATATATATATATATATATATATTATATATATATATATATATAAAAGGTGGACATTGAGGTCAACACCAAGCAGAGACAGTTTTTTCATGCTTGAACAAAATCTTTGAATGGCCTAAAATATGTTGACCTTAGTGTGCACTTTTAAATTTACATATACTTTATATCCTGGATATTAAGCACTTTTCCATAAATATAACATACCTTCAAACTATATTTTATCATTTTTTATATATATATATATATATATATATATATATATATACACACTTACATATTTGTGGTGAATGTTTACACACAATGTACCTATGTATACACTCAATGATAATTTATAATAGATATATGCATGTACATATACACACACACAAAAAATGTGTAACTGCCAGCATCCATAATCTCTATGACTGATGATTTCTCACTGCCAATTATGAATTTTTTTATCTTTTCTTCTCCCCAGAGTATGAGAAATTATTGCATTGGTGTCATCTGACAGTTCTTCTCCACCCTACTCAATGTTCCTAAAAGTTTCCAGGAGATACACAGTTTTTGTAGGAAATCCTCTTCTTTTTTTATTTTTTTTTCTATGTGTGTATGTGTCCTTTTAATTTTGTATCCAAAGAAAATTTAAGCAGGTTCTCTAAATTAATGATTGCTGTTGAACCAGAATCTATGTTTAGATGTGTTTCTTTATTCTGTAAAAGAAGCAAAGTTTCTTGGGATGTAAAAATGAAAAAATGGAATTGGTATAAGCATCACCTTATATATAAAGCTCATAATATTTAAGTATTGGCTCAAAATCCAGAAAATGAATTAAAAACTGTGACATCAAATAAATTTGATTTTATTATCTATATTTATAGCATGTGTCTTATATCCTGTCCTACATAGTGAAACTTGTGATGACCATTAATATGTGGCAATAATTCATTTCAATATTGCTCTCACATTTGACATCATCCTAAAAGAGAAAGGTTAATTCACTTGGGAAATAGTGGCAAAATTCCTATGATAAATGGAGAAACTCTTATGATTTTTGCTTAAAGAACATGAAGAAATGATATGTTGCCTATGAGAACAAATTTACTGAAGTCATAGCATTTGTATGCGTTTACTTGTGGAGAGTATGTGTCCAGTGTTTGATGTGATAATCAATCACAGAATCTTTTTGAGAAAACAAAATTCCATATTGTAGGAAGACGTAGACAGAGTGAAATAATGAGATAGATGGTCATTTACAATACTGCAAAGTGAATTTACCATGAGGCAATGTACAGGACATTCTGTGGTCAGTCTTTACAGATATTAATCTCATTTGCTGACACCTCGAGACGCCAAAATATCTGACAGTCTTCAAAAATTTGTGCTCTCCTTTAAGTTGCACAAACAATACTATTTGCTTTCCATGACTATTTTCTCCTGATATATTAAAGTGCATCAAAAGCATTTTTTTTTACAGAGCTTTAATCCAAGACATATTTCATGTGCACATCTAAAGATTATCAATGATTCCACTATATTATTATTACCATTAAATATTATATTATGCCTTTAAATTCCTTGAGGAATATAGGATCGCAAGATATCATTGCAGTTTCTATAACAAGTCAGTTCTTTTAAGTGAGTAAGTTGTTAGCCTACTGCACAACCCTCAACCTGGAGGATCAGGTTTTGAATACAGAGTTGTCCTTCTCCTAGACCAATTGCTACCCAAGGCTATAGAACCCAGTTTGTCCTGCTATTTACCCATAGCTGGTGGGGAAGAAGAGGATTCATATCTTTCCCAAGGGTATTAGCATGTAAGTGAATGTAATTTATTCAACTGGAATTTGAACTTGGCTCTCCGATTCAACAGTCTGAGCTGCTATCCATTACTCCACAGTGCCTCCTTATTAAATATTGGAGTGTATCAAAATTATTTTCAGTTTTTTATAGACTTTTATTCCAAAGCATATTTCATTGAGAAATCTAAAGACTATGAAGGATTCCATTATATTATTAGTATTACTCATATATTAGAGTGTATCAAATTATTTTTGCTTTCTTGCAGATTTTTATTCCAAAGCATATTTCATTTACAAATTTAAAGACTACAAGTCTATGACTCTTCTGTATTATTATATATTTAGATGTTTCGAAACTATTTTAAATTTTATTTTTTTTTGCAATCCTTTATAGGATAAAGAAAAAGATGTAATGAGTTCTGGGAGATTGGCAATTGTTGGACAGATTTTTTTCAAAGGAAATGACAAATGGGGGTGGTATTCAATATTACTTTTATATTGCCATATGCAACTATGTCAGTAAGTATTGAAGAGGAAATGTATTTCTTTTATCACAAACTATGTAAGGCCAAATACCAGAGTAAATTCCAAGAAAATATTCTCAAGGGAGAACTAAATGCAAAAGTAGAAATATCACAAGGGAGTGAAAATATGGACTTAGAAATGGGTTTGGAAAATTTAACATTCACAAGGCATAGTCAAATTAAAAGAAGAAGGAAAAAAAATAGTGAGTAACCTATTTAACAAATTTGTATAAATGGCTGACAGAACAATGACAAATGGTAATATTAGCTGTTTACTTATAAGGAAACCATAGACATTCATTAATGAAGCAGCTAATGCCATTGTCAGTAGAAATTTATGAAATCTGTTGTAATTTAGCTAGCACCCATTCAGTACTTTACAAGATGGCCTGGCTCATCGCCTTAAATAGTCTATGATTAAGGACTTCTACAGTTGATTAATAAGTTGATACTAAGCTGATTAATATTCGGACTGATCTTACTTTGTCTGGCTATACAGCATTTGATCCTCCTCTGTTCCTTGTAAGTTGTCTTGTTAATTGTTTGTTGCTTATTTTTCTGTGTTTATTGTTCTGTATTTTTTGTATGTATCTGTTAGCACCAGATACTGGTGCTGAATAAATATATTAAGCACTCATTCTTCTCTGTGTATCATTCACCTCCTCAACAATACAACAAAATCTTTCTCTTAAAACAATTTTTCAGGAAATACACTTCTCAAGTCTACTGTTATTGCTCTTTCCAGTCTTGATGGAGGGTTCTTTTATTTGAAATAGTATAACATCTTGATTATGTTATTTTTTCTTTGAGTTACATGCAATACTTTTTAGTTGTTGCTGCTGTTGGAAGTCTAAAAGTTGTCTGGTTTCTCTTATTTGATGCAGTTAAGGACAATAAGGGGGAAAATGTTACTTTGAGCAACAAAAAGCAGAAAGTTGTGTTGAGCCAGGGTTGCCCATATCCTGAAAGAACCATGAAAGACAAAAAATTCTAAAGCTTATTTCATTTACATACAAGTCTATGACTTCAGTATATTGATATAATATAGATGATATCATTGATAAGTAACTTGGTATCAAGTTTAATGTTAGTAGCTTTTCATTTAGAAAAGAACACTTCAGAGTATGGCCTTATTTGTGACTGAAAGTGTAAAATATCATGAAATAAATTAGAAAGATGAATGTTTATAATTATCCCAACTTGTATGAAGCCAAAAGGTATTTATTAAATTGCTTAGTCTGGTAAAATTTACAGTAGGTGAGCATTTAATAGTGAGTTTCAAGACTAGCTTGCTTATTGTCTGGTACAAGGTATCAAGTGGGGAGCACCAAGTCAAGACTGAACTTAGTAAAGTTATCTTGAAGACTAGTGTTTATTTTATAGATAGACTATTTTGCCAGTCCCAGTAGGCACCGAGGTTATTTTTCCAGTAAATATAAATGGCATTTTAGAACCTATTGTCAGTGCAGTGGTTGTGTAAGCTGTGTAGGCAGGACTTGAATGACATGGATTCTGTGGTCTGTGACTGTTGCCTTCAGTGGGTGCACCTGAAGTGTATTGTTAAGAGAGCCATGCCCAATGGCAAGTTTTGGATTTGCAGAGATTGTTATGCCTAAAGTGCTTAAATTATTCAGAAAGTTCTATATTTCTTTTAATAAATGATGATGAATAAATAATTTTAACTTGTCTTTTAACAATTGATTGTGGAAAAGATTTTAAATTATTTTAACAATTGATGGCGAAAATAAATAAATTTCTGCATTAAATCTGCATGTTGTTATTTTTAATATTACTTGCCTTCATAATAATAAAAATATTTATTGGCAAAATAGCCTGGTGTCTGTTTTACTAAAACTGGTAAAATAAGCTTAAAAGTATGTTTGTCTATTTTATCAGGACCTGCAAAATAGCCTCTTCCTTTAACTATCACAAACAGATAGAAATAAATTATATCACTAAAATCATGATTGTTGAAACTCCCACAACAGGGAAGATAATTTTTATAGTAATCTCACCTTTTTATTTTGAAGCTCTGTATTGTTATTTCTTTTGAATGTCTTATAGTTATGGGACCCTTTCTATCTACCCTTACTCTCTAAAAGTATCTGTGACCATACTTTCATAAAAGATATGATTTTATATAAAATTTAAGACAAGCCCAGAAGCCCAAATATTTTCTTATTCTTCATTATCAAATAATTAACATTGTCTTTAGTTTTTTTTTTAGTCATTTTCAGTTGATTGGTTTTATTCCAGATCTAGTATAAAAGTTTCTATTTTCTTTTATTTTGGGCAGTACATCTCTTCTTTTATTGACTCTCCATCTTTTTTTTTTTCTTTTTGTTGTTGTTGTATTTAGTCATTCTTCATCTTGTCTGGATTCTTGGCCCTCATATTATTTTTTTTGTCTATTTATTTGCTTTTGTTCTATTGTGTTGGAGCAAATGTTCATGGTGTTTTTAAAAAAATTTCAAAGACAATATTTAGATATTTGCATATAGATTTATTCAACTACAAATGTGCTATTTTGTTCCAGTACCTTTCATCATCTTTGAGGCAACTTCATGATTGCATCCTCTCAGAAGGTAGCATCTTTCTGGGTGATGAATAGTTTAAATGGTTTTCACAAGCTTCTAAAGAAATTAAATTTTTCCTATTAAGAAAATTTTGTAGGGATTGGAATAAATGGTAATCCAAAGGTACTCAACCAGGTAAGTTTGGCACCACAACCAATCTGTACCAATTTTTGTTGAGTCTGCAAAGAGATCTGAGGTCTGGAATTGTCCTTATAGAAGGTGACATTCTTCTGATTGCCCAATTCCAGATGCTTTTCATCAATTGCTGTCTTTAATTGGCCCAAATGGGAACTGATTTTGTGGAAAGAGCTAGTAATTAGCCCTCACTTTTCTTGTCTTTACTCATTCTTCAATTTGATTGGCTTCTTGTTCTTTTTTTTTTGTTTATTTCTTTCCTTTTCTTTCTACTTTTCATCTTTTTTTAAAACCTTCCTAAAAATCTTCATCCCTGCACTTTAACATCTTTTCCTTTTTTTTTCTTTCTCTTACTGATTTCATCACATCCTTATTTTAGCCATTTTCATCTTCATTATAATCATGTCTGATACAAGATGAACATATCAAAGCACTCATCTTCTCTGTTCCACGTCCCTACAGGATGTAGGTGATCATGGTTCTCCACAATTTCCTGTTCATTGTAGCTCTGAGTAAATTTTGTCTTTTTGCTATCTCTCCTAAACCCTGTTCTGCCATCCTTTTACACAAGCTTGTTAGTTAAGTTATTCACCGTTTTTCTCTCTCATTCTTGCCTTCAATATGTCCTGTGTGTATCTAATTTTCCAAGCCTTCTTTCTTCATTATGTTCTCTAGAAATTTCAACTCCCTGATGTTAAGTATATAAGTGTTGCCATATTCTTTAAAACTTTGTTTTTACCCACAAGTTCAGTTCATTGCATTCTCAGCATCCTTCTTTAGAAACACATTTCTGATGTATCAATTCTCTTTTTCATCTGGGAGGAGATTGTCCAACATTCACTGCCACATAGGAGGACTGACATTATGTAACATTACAGTACTACTGTTTTCTTTTGTTTCTAACAAAATTTTCTTTTTTCTGAATACATTACTTAGCTTTTGAAAGGCAATTTTCACTATCTCAATGCATTTTTGAATTTTGGTGTTGAACTTTGTCATCTGTTAAAAAACTTCCCATATATCTAAATTTGTGCGTTTGATTTTGGAATCTTCATTCTGTAATTTGCATGTTGGGCTGTTGAGATCGTGGCTGCTAATAATAAATCCTGATAGGACTTCTAATTCTTTGAGATGTGCCTCACTGTGAAGTAGGTACCTCCAGTTTTGCTAAACAATGAGCATAATATACTGAAAAAAATGTTTCAATCTTAATGATGTAATGGAATAACCTGCCACCTCCATGAATGACTATATTTATAGGTAGTTACTACTTACAGTGTAGTCACTCATGGGGGTGACAGGTTATTTCATTATATCACTTAATAAAAACAAAGTTTTATCATCAAAATCTTCATGTTATTATTAAGAGGAAAGACCAAAGGATTTTTAGAACCTTTAAAATTTTGGCTAAAAATCTTGTTTATCTTGCATCACTTGGGGTACCAAAGATTAGTATAGGAAATTTTAGCATCTTTTTTGCAGTGAAAAATATATTGATTTGGAAATTCTTGCAAAAATCAAATATTTGTCAGATTTTAATAAAACTTTCAGGACTTATTCAGAAATGAATTAAATTATTTTAGAAATGTTTCCTTATAGAAAATCTTAGTAAAAACATTCTTTTTACAACTGTTACTCCAGCCCTTCCCCCACACACATACTTATTTAATTTTATGGAATTTTGAGAAATTAAATTTTGTACCACTTAATGTCTATATTACACGAGAATTTGAATCATCAATTTTTTTTTTTGTAAAACAGCCCCCCCCCTTATTTACTGAAAATCTGTTCTGGATCATAAAATAAAGAAATGTAATAAAACTAAGACATTATTTAATTAGAAAAACTTTTTATTGCTTTAATGATTAAAATATGGACAACATCCCATCAGATTAAGAAAAAACATTTCAATAAATAATGAAATTTTACCAGAATTGTTTTCATTTTTTAAAAATTTTAACTATAATAATTCATAAAGTTTCAAATCTTTTAAATTTCTGTTTTAATTTGTAACAGTTAGGAGATATTGTTATTAAGTAAAAACTTGATATAAATAGAATTAAGCACCCCCCCCCAATATTTTAAAATGAATTTTTTTTGTTTATAAAAATGCCAATTTTTGTAGATACAGATGTCTATTTCAGAAGATAAGAGTGATAACTATAATAATTTTAAAGCTAAAGTACCTGAAATTCAATAAAACATTAGATTATGGGTAATATTTTCCTAAATTTTTAAGATTATATAACAAAAAGTGCTCATGTTATATCCCTCATTTACAGACATATACACCATAGAAAAAAATTAAACAAATTTCCATCTGTCAATCAAGCTGATAACTTGTCAACACCTTAAATAAACACCTACCTCCATGTTAAAAATGCATTTCTTTAATATTTCAAGCTAAAAGTAATATTTGTTTCAAATCTGATTAATTAAACTTGAAATAAGCTAATATTCCTCAAATAAAGTTTTGGAAAAGTATATTCTATTTTAGAAGGATTTTTTTTACCAAAGAGAATTACATTTTGCTGACAGATGGCTAAAAATTGCACCCAAATCAGCAATTTTTAATAATTTCACAACAAAGATTACTTCCAGTCAATTTAAATTAGTTTTAAAATACAGAAAAGTATTTTACTTACTGGAAATAGTAAATTTAATCTATTAGCTTGAAATTAAAACCAAAATAAAAGCTTTAAGAAAGATTTTTCATTTTCAAAAATCTATTTTAAATCTTAGTTATCATGTTTCCATGGAATTACCTACTGTAAAGGCTGAATAAATCTGGTGAAAAGACACCACCTTGTCTTTGCATTTTTGTATATTTACAGAATTCATTTGCTATCTGTATTCTGGCAGTATAAGTTCTAGATTGTTCTAATATCCTTCGCAAATATGCCATGGTTATCTTCAGTAAGAAACTGCTGATGAGGCTAGATTTCTAATCATAGCTTCAGACGAGGACACTCAAGAGATTGACAATGCTTAACCATGACTGTTCCAAGGTTAAAAATAGAAGAGCATTTGATGCGAGTAAAACTCATATGAAAAAAAATTTGATATAAGTTGAATCAATGGAAACAACAAAGATGAGGATACACATCACAAAATAATAGCAATATTTAAACTGTTACAGAATGCAAAGACTAGGGCTAAAATAGTCAGCAGAATTGGTTGGAGTGCCTCATGGGTGTGGTATTTTGACAGTGATGGATTGCTTTTGTCTGGGTTTTTGATATAAGTCCAAAATAACACATTCAACAGAGGGTCGCAAGAATTCTGAAGCGTTGATGCACCTCCCACACTCAGGTTAGTGACCAGTTAAAACCACTCATGGAAGGACACTGAGCCAATGTGTGACATGCATTCCTGTGACATCATACCACCCACTGCCTCTCAGAATCGAAGCTGCCACCACTTTCTCCTAATAAAACAAACAAGAAAATGAAATGGTCCTTTTTTTTTTCATACATGGTAGTGTTGGGACCCAAAGATGACACAGAACAAAACAAAACTCTTGGAAGAAATGTAGCTGAATTGCAGAGGTTGAAACAATAAAAATGAGAATATTAGTAAAGGGAATTTCTCTCAGAATTTAAGACAACAAAATAAATTCCAGTCTCATTCTGTCTAGTCATATAAAATAAAACTTTAAAAAAATCTTTTGTGAGAGAATCTTTTTTGCTCTGACTCATCCCACCAGCTATGGTTTAAATAGTAAAATTTGTATCTGGAAAAATTGTTATTCTTAAAAAATTGTTAATGCAATATTCATTAGAAAAAAAAATGAGAATTATTTATATAATCCCAAATATATTTTGGCTTTAAATAACCAAGAAAAGGTTGATAAATCATAAAAAACAAAATAACTTTTTCCGAGAAGAATTAATTAAGAACTTAACAGTACAATTTGAGTATATCTATGACGCCCAACTACAAAAAATAAAGTCTTTTGGTTGAGTCAAGTATGATATTCTTAAAGAAAAAAAACAACTTTTAGTTATTGACTGTAATGTTCTTACTGAGGACGAAAAATGATTTTTGCTTAACAACTACGATGTTTTTACCGAGGACAGAAAAAATAAATAACACTGAGATCTAAATACAACCTTCTCCATTGTAATACAGGGTGCGATGGATAAATTGTCATGTAAAACGAAAAAAAAAAAAAAAAAAAATGAAAATAACATTGACATCTCATTTTAACAAATATATTTACCAAAATTATACAAAAGAGTAAATTAATTGAATAAAATCCCCATTGGCTTCAATTGCGGCCTCCAGATGACTTTGGAATCTTCTGCAATGTTTCTGGACGGTCTACTCGTTTAAGTTGATGAATGCTGCCATAATCCTTGACTTTAGTTCATCTTTGGTATTACAAGGAGTTTTGTTGATCTCTCAATCTACTGTGTCCCACATATAATAAACAAGGGGACTGCAGTCTGGGGAGTTAGGTGACCAGATGTGGTTGCAGAAATTGTTTCACAGCCAGGACTAGATTTCCTGCTTGAGTGTCATGGTGCAGAGTCCTGTTGCTAGTTATAGAGTTTTCTAGCAGACACTCTCTTGACCCAGGGAAGCACTACCTCCCCAAGGCACTTGATGTAGGCCTCCATGTTGAGCCTGACATCCTGTGGGAAGAAGAATGGAGGCATAATGTCATCATCTCTCCAAACACCTTTGCAATCACTATTAGACTCATCCAACTCTTTCCAGATCCTTTGCATAGTCTTCAGATTGACACCCAAACACACTGAAATGTTTCTATTAGAGCTTCTGGTGTGAATGCCAAGCAATACAGCATGCCGTTTCCAAATTTCTGGTGGAGTGAATTGTGTCATGGTGCTTTTTTTTTCTCACAGATGGTGTCTAACTGACTCTACTATACTGTAACATCGACAATATCAAAAACAAACAATGTGCATGTGTAAAATTAAAAATATCAAATGGCAACAATTTACCCATCGCATCCTGTATACAACTGAAAAATATTGACAAATACATCAGTCAAAACAGTATGATAAAAACAAAGATGAAAATGTTATTGTTTAAATAATATGGTGAATAAAAAAATAATTTTATCTTGGACTTCAGCTCTCAAAAGTTGGGTTAATTAGCTTCTTGAGATTGGACTTCAGTTTTAGTGTGCCAAGATAAATACAAGATCCAATCTACTTCTCAAAAGCTGACCAAACATAAGAATTTTTTAATCCTGTAGGATCACCCTCCTTGTCTGCCATGGAACTTCTAATACCTGCAAGATGGCGTTGCCAAAAAGCTGTAAAAAAGAAAAGAACAAAAACTCTCTTTGTCTTTTTTTGGTATTTACTCACAGGATGCTGTAGAGACAAAACATGTTTAATTTTCTCAATACAGATTGTCTTCGACTCCAATAAATCATATGTCACATACAGCACAAGAAAATATCTCTTCCATAATTAATAATGGCAAACCACTACACATTAAACAGTACATTTGTAATTTGCATCACTAAATAATCATTCTTCTACAATCTCTTCTTGGTTGAGCTGAGAGCTTTTCTATATCCTCTCCTAGATATTAGGAATGTATAAATTATATGAAGTAGAAATCACATCTTCGTTATTTTAATCCCAACCTGAAGAAATTTTGATCACTTAATAAATTGAGAAAGTGTGGTATGAATGGGTGCTGAAAAGTTCTTGACTTGGTCAAGAAAGTCTTTCAGAAAACAAAATAGTATTTGATCAGATTTGGTTTGGTTTGGTTTATTTTGTTTTACGGCATATCAACCTCAATGGCTTATTTAATGCGGACAAAATTTTTATTGCTGGTAATATGTTTTTCTTCAAAAATCTATTTCTGGGAATATTTTCCCTTGAAGAAATCTACAGCTAGTCATATTTTTTCAAAGAATGTATAACTGCTTGTATTGCTGGTATTTTTTTTTTTAAAGTATTGCTGATAATAATTTTTCCTTCAAAAATTATTGCTGGTAATAATTTTTTTTATTACAAAGTATTTCCGGTATTAAGGTATTAAAACCTATTTTTACACAAGTTTGGGTGTTAACTATTTGCCCGTAGCTGGGACCCTAACAGGTGCTACCACCCCAGATCAGGGTGGACCTGGGAACACCAGCAATTAAGAGGTGGTTCCACACTCCTCAAAACCTCCTGATCAGAGGCCATACCCAGGATGATTGATCAGATTTGGAGAATTGAACTTATCATTATGCAAACTTATTATATAATGGATATTAAGAAGTAGACCTTTTTCAAGGTTTCTTTTCCTTTTTTTTTCTTGTATATTATTTTTTCTTGTCTGCATATTATTTTTTGTTCTTTTATTTTTCTTTCTTTTTCATAATTATTTTTCCCTTTTGGATTTTGGAATGGGTGCGCAGGTGGTGGATATCAGCTTAGAATAAGAAATCAGAGAGCCAAGATCAAATTCCAGTTAAGCTCATTACATTCACTTCCATGCAAATACTCTTGGGAAAGATATGAATCCACCTTTCTACCTCTAGCTATGGGATAAATAGCAGGTCAGACTGGGTTCTATAGCCTTGGTTGGCAACCAGCTTACCACAGAAAGAACTGGCAACCAACTGTGCAAAAATCTTTAAACACTCTCTTCCAACATATCTTCAGCCAGCATGGCAGAGTAGGCTCATAAAATTAATACAAGAATATCTCATGCTGATGTGTCATCTGCAACAAGGGGAGTGAATGTTTTTTGGTTTTCTTTAAATTTTTCTCTTCTTATACTTTTTTCTCCATACTTAACATCAGGAAGTGGCAACTGAAATTTCTGGGACACATAATGAGAAAGGAGGCTTGGACAATCTGATACTCACTGGGTGGATAGAGGGAAAGAGCGACAAGAGAAAGCAATGTGTGACATAACTATCGTACTTAAGCAGGTGGATGATGGAACAGGGTTTGGGAGAGGTTGTTATAGGACAAGACATATTGAGAGCTACAAGGGATGAGAGAAGTGGAGAGCCATGAACACCTACATCATGAAGGGACACAGCACATAAAAAAAAAATTCTTCCTTTTCAGCTAGTCTGCCTCATTTCTGCTATCCGTTCTCCCTCATTTCTGTCATCCCTTCTCCCTCATTTTTGCTATCTCTTCTCCCTCATTTCTGCTATCTCTTCTCCCTCATTTCTGTCATCCCTTCTCCTTCATTTCTGTCATCCCTTCTCCTTCATTTCTGTCATCCTTAACCCTCATCTCAGCTATCCGTTCTCCCTCATTTCTGTCATCCCTTCTCCCTCATTTCAGCTATCCATTCTCCCTCTTTTCTGTCATCCTTCTCCCTCATTTCTGTCATCCCTTCGCCCTCATTTCTGTCATCCCTTCGCCCTCATTTCTGTCATCCCTTCGCCCTCATTTCAGCTATCCGTTCTCCCTCTTATCTGTCATCCCTTCTCCCTCATTTCTGTCATCCTTCTCCATCATTTCTGTCATCCTTCTCCCTCATTTCAGCTATCCGTTCTCCCTCATTTCTGCTATCCGTTCTACCTCTTTTCTGTCATCCTTTCTCCCTCATTTCTGTCATCCCTTGGCCCTCTTTTCTGTCATCCCTTCGCCCTCATTTCAGCTATCCGTTCTCTCTCTTTTCTGTCATCCTTCTCCCTCATTTCTGTCATCCTTCACCCTCATTTCAGCTATCCGTTCTCCCTCATTTCAGTTATCCGTTCTCCCTCATTTCTGTCATCCCTTCTGCCTCATTTCTGTCATCCCTTCTCCCTCATTTCTGTCATCCTTCTCCGTCATTTCAGCTATCTGTTCTCCCTCATTTCTGTCATCCATTCTCCCTCATTTCTGTCATCCCTTCTCCCTCATTTCTGTCAACCCTTCTCCCCCATTTCTGCTATCTCTTCTCCCTCATTTCTGTCATCCCTTCTCCATCATTTCTGTCATCCTTCTCCCTCATTTCTGTCATCCTTCTCCCTCATTTCAGCTATCCGTTCTCGCTCATTTCTGTCATCCCTTCTCCCCCATTTCTGTCATCTTTCTCCCTCATTTCAGCTATCTGTTCTCCCTCATTTCTGTCATCCCTTCTCCCCCATTTCTGCTATCTCTTCTCCCTCATTTCTGTCATCCGTTCTCCCTCATTTCTGTCATTCCTTCTCCCTCATTTCAGCTATCCGTTCTCCCTCAATTCTGTCATCCCATCGCCCTCTTTTCTGTCATCCCTTCTCCCTCATTTCAGCTATCCATTCTCCCTCATTTCTGTCATCCCTTCTCCCTCATTTCTGTCATCACTTCGCCCTCGTTTCAGTCATCCCTTCTCCCTCGTTTCTGTCATTCCTTCGCCCTCATTTCTGCTCTCCATTCTCCCTCATTTCTGTCATCCCTTCTCCCTCATTTCTGTCATCCCTTCTCCCTCATTTATGTCATCCCTTCTCCCTCATTTCAGCTATCCGTTCTCCCTCTTTTCTGTCATCCTTCTCCCTCATTTCTGTCATCCCTTCTCCCTCATTTCTGTCATCCCATCGCCCTCTTTTCTGTCATCCCTTCTCCCTCATTTCAGCTATCCATTCTCCCTCATTTCTGTCATCCCATCTCCCTCATTTCAGCTATCCATTCTCCCTCATTTCTGTCATCCCTTCTCCCTCATTTCTGTCATCCCTTCTCCCTCATTTCTGCTATCCGTTCTCCCTTATTTCTGTCATCCTTCTCCCTCTTTTCTGTCATCCCTTCTTCCTCATTTCAGTTATCCGTTCTCCCTCATTACTGTCATCCCTTTCCCTCATTTCTGCTATTCCTTCTCACTCATTTCTGCTATCTCTTCTCCCTCATTTCTGTCATCCCTTCTCCCTCATTTCTGTCATCCCTTCTCATTCATTTCTGTCATCCTTCTCCCTCATCTCCGCTATCCGTTCTCCCTCATCTCATCTGTCCGTTCTCCCTCATTTCTGTCATCCCTTCTCCCTCATTTCAGCTATCCGTTCTCCCTCTTTTCTGTCATCCTTCTCCCTCATTTCTGTCATCCCTTCTCCATCATTTCTGTCATCCTTCTCCCTCATTTCAGCTATCCGTTCTCCCTCATTTCTGTCATCCCTTCTCCCTCTTTTCTGTCATCCTTTCTTCCTCATTTCTGTCATCCTTTCTCCATCATTTCTGTTATCCTTCACCCTCATTTCAGCTATCCGTTCTCCCTCATTTCAGCTATCCGTTCTCCCTCATTTCTGTCATCCCTTTTCCCTCATTTCTGTCATCCCTTCTCCCTCATTTCAGCTATCCTTTCTCACTCTTTTCTGTCATCTCTTCTCCCTCATTTCCGTCATCCTTCTCCCTCATTTCAGCTATCCGTTCGCCCTCATTTCTGTCATCCATTCTCCCTCATTTCTGTCAACCCTTCTCCCCCATTTCTGCTATCTCTTCTCCCTCATTTCTGTCATCCTTCTCACTCATTTCTGTCATCCCTTCTCCCTCATTTCAGCTATCCGTTCTCCCTCATTTCTGTCATCCCTTCGCCCTCATTTCTGTCATCCTTCTCCCTCATTTCAGCTATCCGTTCGCCCTCATTTCTGTCATCCCTTCTCCCTCATTTCTGTCATTCCTTCTCCCTCATTTCAGCTATCCGTTCTCCCTCATTTCTGTCATCCCTTCTCCCTCATTTCTGTCATCCCTTCGCCCTCATTTCTGTCATCCCATCGTCCTCTTTTCTGTCATCCCTTCTCTCTCATTTCAGCTATCCATACTCCCTCATTTCTGTCATCCCTTCTCCCTCATTTCTGTCATCCCTTCTCCCTCATTTCTGTCATCCTTCTACGTCATTTCAGCTATCTGTTCTCCCTCATTTCTGTCATCCATTCTCCCTCATTTCTGTCATCCCTTCTCCCTCATTTCTGTCAACCCTTCTCCCTCATTTCTGTCAACCCTTCTCCCCCATTTCTGCTATCTCTTCTCCCTCATTTCTGTCATCCCTTCTCCATCATTTCTGTCATCCTTCTCCCTCATTTCTGTCATCCTTCTCCCTCATTTCAGCTATCCGTTCTCGCTCATTTCTGTCATCCCTTCTCCCCTCATTTCTGTCATCTTTCTCCCCTCATTTCAGCTATCTGTTCTCCCTCATTTCTGTCATCCATTCTCCCCCATTTCTGCTATCTCTTCTCCCTCATTTCTGTCATCCGTTCTCCCTCATTTCTGTCATTCCTTCTCCCTCATTTCAGCTATCCGTTCTCCCTCAATTCTGTCATCCCATCGCCCTCTTTTCTGTCATCCCTTCTCCCTCATTTCAGCTATCCATTCTCCCTCATTTCTGTCATCCCTTCTCCCTCGTTTCAGTCATCCCTTCTCCCTCGTTTCTGTCATTCCTTCGCCCTCATTTCTGCTATCCATTCTCCCTCATTTCTGTCATCCCTTCTCCCCTCATTTCTGTCATCCCTTCTCCCTCATTTATGTCATCCCTTCTCCCTCATTTCAGCTATCCGTTCTCCCTCTTTCTGTCATCCTTCTCCCTCATTTCTGTCATCCCTTCTCCCTCATTTCTGTCATCCCATCGCCCTCTTTTCTGTCATCCCTTCTCCCTCATTTCAGCTATCCATTCTCCCTCATTTCTGTCATCCCATCTCCCTCATTTCAGCTATCCATTCTCCCTCATTTCTGTCATCCCTTCTCCCTCATTTCTGTCATCCCTTCTCCCTCATTTCTGCTATCCGTTCTCCCTTATTTCTGTCATCCTTCTCCCTCTTTTCTGTCATCCTTCTTCCTCATTTCAGTTATCCGTTCTCCTCATTACTGTCATCCCTTTCCCTCATTTATGCTATTCCTTCTCACTCATTTCTGCTATCTCTTCTCCCTCATTTTCTGTCATCCCTTCTCCCCTCATTTCTGTCATCCTTCTCATTCATTTCTGTCATCCTTCTCCCTCATCTCCGCTATCCGTTTCTCCCTCATCTCATCTGTCCGTTCTCCCTCATTTCTGTCATCCCTTCTCCCTCATTTCAGCTATCCGTTCTCCCTCTTTTCTGTCATCCTTCTCCCTCATTTCTGTCATCCCTTCTCCATCATTTCTGTCATCCTTCTCCCTCATTTCAGCTATCCGTTCTCCCTCATTTCTGTCATCCCTTCTCCCTCTTTTCTGTCATCCTTTCTCCCTCATTTCTGTCATCCTTTCTCCATCATTTCTGTTATCCTTCACCCTCATTTCAGCTATCCGTTCTCCCTCATTTCTGTCATCCCTTCGCCCTCATTTCTGTCATCCTTCTCCCTCATTTCAGCTATCCGTTCTTCCTCATTTCTGTCATCCCTTCGCCCTCATTTCTGTCATCCTTCTCCCTCATTTCAGCTATCCGTTCGCCCCTCATTTCTGTCATCCCTTCGCCCTCATTTCTGTCATCCCTTCTCCCTCATTTCAGCTATCCGTTCGCCCTCATTTCTGTCATCCTTCGCCCTCATTTCTGTCATCCTTCTCCCTCATTTCAGCTATCCGTTTCGCCCTCATTTCTGTCATCCCTTCGCCCTCATTTCTGTCATCCCTTCTCCTCATTTCAGCTATCCGTTCGCCCTCATTTCTGTCATCCCTTCGCCCTCATTTCTGTCATCCTTCTCCCTCATTTCAGCTATCCGTTCTTCCTCATTTCTGTCATCCCTTCGCCCTCATTTCTGTCATCCTTCTCCCTCATTTCAGCTATCCGTTCTCCCTCATTTCTGTCATCCCTTCGCCCTCATTTCTGTCATCCCTTCTCCCTCATTTCAGCCATCCGTTCTTCCTCATTTCTGTCATCCCTTCGCCCTCATTTCTGTCATCCTTCTCCCTCTTTTCTGTCATCCCTTCTTCCTCATTTCAGTTATCCGTTCTCCCTCATTACTGTCATCCCTTTCCCTCATTTATGCTATTCCTTCTCACTCATTTCTGCTATCTCTTCTCCCTCATTTCTGTCATCCCTTCTCCCTCATTTCTGCTATCCGTTCTCCCTTATTTCTGTCATCCTTCTCCCTCTTTTCTGTCATCCCTTCTTCCTCATTTCAGTTATCCGTTCTCCCTCATTACTGTCATCCCTTTCCCTCATTTCTGCTATTCCTTCTCACTCATTTCTGCTATCTCTTCTCCCTCATTTCTGTCATCCCTTCTCCCTCATTTCTGTCATCCTTCTCATTCATTTCTGTCATCCTTCTCCCCCTCATCTCCGCTTATCCGTTTCTCCCCTCATCTCATCTGTCCGTTCTCCCTCATTTCTGTCATCCCTTCTCCCTCATTTCAGCTATCCGTTCTCCCTCTTTTCTGTCATCCTTCTCCCTCATTTCTGTCATCCCTTCTCCATCATTTCTGTCATCCTTCTCCCTCATTTCAGCTATCCGTTCTCCCTCATTTCTGTCATCCCTTCTCCCTCTTTTCTGTCATCCTTTCTCCCTCATTTCTGTCATCCTTTCTCCATCATTTCTGTTATCCTTCACCCTCATTTCAGCTATCCGTTCTCCCTCATTTCTGTCATCCCTTCGCCCTCATTTCTGTCATCCTTCTCCCTCATTTCAGCTATCCGTTCTTCCTCATTTCTGTCATCCCTTCGCCCTCATTTCTGTCATCCTTCTCCCTCATTTCAGCTATCCGTTCGCCCTCATTTCTGTCATCCCTTCGCCCTCATTTCTGTCATCCCTTCTCCCTCATTTCAGCTATCCGTTCTTCCTCATTTCTGTCATCCCTTCGCCCTCATTTCTGTCATCCCTTCTCCCTCATTTCAGCTATCCGTTCTTCCTCATTTCTGTCATCCCTTCGCCCTCATTTCTGTCATCCTTCTCCCTCATTTCAGCTATCCGTTTCGCCCTCATTTCTGTCATCCCTTCGCCCTCATTTCTGTCATCCTTCTCCCTCATTTCAGCTATCCGTTCTTCCTCATTTCTGTCATCCCTTCGCCCTCATTTCTGTCATCCTTCTCCCTCATTTCAGCTATCCGTTCTCCCTCATTTCTGTCATCGCCCCCTCCCTTCTCCCTCATTTCAGCTATCCGTTCTTCCTCATTTCTGTCATCCTTCGCCCTCATTTCTGTCATCCTTCTCCCTCATTTCAGCTATCCGTTCGCCCTCGTTCGCCCTCATTTCTGTCATCCGTTCTCCCCTCATTTCTGTCATTCCTTCTCCCTCATTTCAGCTATCCGTTCTCCCTCATTTCTGTCATCCCTTCTCCCTCATTTCTGTCATCACTTCGCCCTCATTTCTGTCATCCCATCGTCCTCTTTTCTGTCATCCCTTCTCCCTCATTTCAGCTATCCATACTCCCTCATTTCTGTCATCCCTTCTCCCTCATTTCAGCTATACGTTCTCCCTCTTTTCTGTCATCCCTTCTCCCTCATTTCTGTCATCCCTTCGCCCTCATTTCTGTCATCCTTCTCCCTCATTTCAGCTATCCGTTCTCCCTCATTTCTGTCATCCCTTCTCCCTCATTTCTGTCATCCCTTCTCCCTCATTTCTGTCATCCCATCGCCCTCTTTTCTGTCATACCTTCTCCCTCATTTCAGCTATCCATTCTCCCTCATTTCTGTCATCCCTTCTCCCTCATTTCTGTCATCCCTTCTCCCTCATTTCTGCTATCCGTTCTCCCTTATTTCTGTCATCCCTTCTCCCTCTTTTCTGTCATCCCTTCTCCCTCATTTCTGTCATCCCTTCTCCCTCATTTCTGTCATTCCTTCTCCCTCATTTCTGCTATCCGTTCTCCCTTATTTCTGTCATCCTTCTCCCTCTTTTCTGTCATCCCTTCTCCCTCATTTCTGTCATCCCTTCTCCCTCATTTCTGCTATCCGTTCTCCCTCATTTCTGTCACCCCTTCTCCCTCATTTCTGCTATCCGTTCTCCCTTATTTCTGTCATCCCTTCTTCCTCATTTCTGTCATCCCTTCTCCCTCATTTCTGCTATCCGTTCTCCCTCATTTCTGTCATCCCTTCTCCCTCATTTCTGTCATCCCTTCTCCCTCATTTCTGCTATCCGTTCTCCCTTATTTCTGTCATCCTTCTCCCTCTTTTCTCTCATCCCTTCTTCCTCATTTCAGTTATCCGTTCTCCCTCATTACTGTCATCCCTTTCCCTCATTTTAGCTATCCCTTCTCCCTCATTTTAGCTATCCCTTCTCCCTCATTTCTGCTATCCCTTCATCCTCTTTTCTGTCATTCCTTTTCCCTCATTTCTGTCATCCTGTTCCTCTTTTCTGTCATCCCTTCTCCCTCATTTCTGCTATCCGTTCTCCCTCTTTTCTGTCATCCCTTCTCCCTCATTTCAGCTATCCCTTCTCCCTCATTTCTGTCATCCCTTCTCCCTCTTTTCTGCTATCCCTTCTCCCCATTTCACCCTTCTGAGTGGAACAACCAGTCTGTCCTATCTCCTGTTCCTTTATCAATAAAACACAGAGTAAACTATTTTAAACATGTCCATTTTTCCCTGTACAATCTCCAACTGATGGTCTCACAGCTATCTGTAGAAGGGACTTAGTAATAATCCTCCCACTGTGGTACTTGTTAGAGATTGGGTGGGGTGTAGTGAAGAAAGATAATAGAGAGGTTAGAGAGGAGGAGAGTTGGCCCATTGTTTTCTTCCTGTTAATGTTGACCATGTCTCATATTGGCATATAATTAGAAACAGGAAACACTTGTCACAACTCTTGCAAGAATGCCATGAAATTGGTTACGCCACAATCATCATCAAAATATACTTTTCCACTAGATGCCATTATGGCTTTTGTCCAGACCTCTTTGTTTGGAGAATAGAATAGAGAGTGTGGCTTTGACAATGATGGTTGCTGTATAATCTCAACTCACATTCTATATGAATATATGAGAAAGACTGACTTGTAGATGGGAATATAGATTTATTATCAGTAATTTTTTTCTGTTCACTATAGGACTCAGGTTAGCTATACCCTCGGGTTTGGCTATAGGGCATGGATAGTAATTAGCTTTATCCTGCCATACTGGCCAATAAGGTGTTGGCAGGAGGCAAGAGTTCGGAGTTGTTTATCTCTAAAATGGTTTCCTTATCAAGCCTAAAGAAACCAATCTTCCCTACGATTTCACCAACAGCTGTATATATATATATATATATATATATATATATAACCAAATGGGTAAATATAGGTATATATAAAAATAAGCAATCAGATACAAATACCTATAAATATTTTATAGTGTAAGAAAAAAGAGTGTTTAATGTAAAATTAGAGCTATTTAATGTAAGATATCATGTATATTTCTTATATATATGAATTACATAAAAATGAAACTTAATTGTACCCCATTTTAATGGCCATTTCACCCCACCCTCACCCCTGGGATAATCTCCCTGGGGCTTGTCAATGCTAAAACTTTTGTTAAAAAATGAATTTTAACGTTTTTTTGGGTTTTTTTTTTAAATTGAAGAATAGAAATTAAAAAAGCAAGGAAAGAAAGAAGAAAAGTGAGGAAAGAGGAGGAACAAACAACAAATAAGGGAAATGGCATTTAATAGAGAGATAGAGAGAAAAAGGAAAAGAGACACTAAGGTAATGAGAGTGAGGTGGGGGACAGAAATCATAACATACACAAGTGTAGACAGAAGTTAAAAAACAGTTGAAGATTAACAATGACCTACATTTAAAATATTAACTCTTAATCAAATAGGAAAAAATTACATAAGTAAATGCAATCACTAAAGTTAAGAAAAAGAAGAATTTTTTTAAGATTGTAGATAAAGGAAAATTTAGAATTTAATATTAATAATACTATATAATTTTAATATTATATAATTTTTTTATATTATTAATAATTTATATACTAATATCTCAAATTATTATGCATTTATATTAACCTATTATTAAGAAAAATTTGTTTGCTTATTAAATTATTAATATTAATTTATTATTACTTATTTAATTATTTAGTCAAATATTATTATATTTTCTTATGAATTTATTAATAAGTAAATTTATTTACTTATTAAATCAATATTAATTTCTTTATATTTTATATATTTAATTATTTAGTAAAAAATTTTGATTATTAAATTATTAATTTATATTAATTATTATATTAAATATTAATATATTACATATTTATATTAAAAATATTTAAATTTATATTTTATATTTATATTAATAATTTTAATATTATATTAAAGATTATTAATTTCAATATTATAAAAAGGAATTTAATATTATAATAAAAAAATTAGGCATTTTAGTAAATAAACAAGAAAAACATGAATATTAAAATTAGGCATTTTTAGTAAATAAACAAGAAAAACATGAATATTAAAATTAATAATACGATAAAGGAAGAATTAAAATAGATAAGTAATAACACAAAATAAAATTTTAAATAGATAAAAAATTTAAAACCTAGATTAAAAATAAGATTTAATTTCAAGATTTTATAGATTAAAATATAAAGGATTAGATAGAATAATTACAGATTAATTTATAATAGGTTAAACAGATAAAATTAATTAAATTAGATAAAAGCCTAAAAAATTCTTTAAAAGGGTGGGGGATAGCTTCAATAACAAGTAACTAAGGACAACCCAAAAAGAAATTGTTAGTCATGAAACAGGAAATTAAAGTAAAATAAAATCAACAATATACTTGAATGCACAAAACATATCAGATCATAAAAATAAGAATAAAAAAGATTTTATAGGATATTAGATATAGGATATTAATTATAGGATGTTAAATATCTTATAGGATATAAAATAAAATTTCATAGGATAAGAAATATAAAGAAATACAGAGAAATAACTCATTAAAAAGTGTATGAGATGTAGAAAAATCCATTAAAAAAAAATTTTAATTAAATAAAAGAAATAAAAGGTGGATGAAAAATATAGCAAAATAGCTTTAAAAATAAACCCTTTCAAGTTGGTGGGAATTAATATAAAATTTATATATTACTAATAATTTATATATTACTAATAAACAAGTACAACCTCAGTTATACATAAGTAAAACAAATTATATAAAAACTAAAAATAAACAGAAAAGAAGGGGAGGTCTCAATTGAGAAAATTACTGATATAAAAGAAATATAACAAGATATAGCTAACAATAAAAAAAGGAAAAATAGAAAAAATAAGAGAATTACAAGAACCTAATAAACACAGTAACAATATATAAAGAAACCAATAATAAGAGAATTAAAAAAAAAGATATTTACATATAGAAATAAATTATATATAGAAAAAATTTTACATATAGAAAAATTTAACATATAAGATAAGTGAATGTGGAAAGTGCAAGGTTGAAACAATATTATATCAGTTGAAATTTATTTTTTTGACAACACTTAGAAACCAATTCATTCCTTTTGTTTAGTAAAAAGTTTTGATTATTAAATTTAATAATTCTAATTTTCTCGTTCAAACATAAATTGCATCTATTCTTAAAGCTACTATGAGTCTCGGTAAAACCTTTGACTTCTCAGTCATTTTGAGGGTTCAGGTCTTTTTCCCTAAATTCCCAAAATTTTTAGGAGAGAGCAGTTTGGTGCTTCAGTCTGGGGTTGAAAAAATATATATATAAATTTTGTTAAAAACGACTGACAATGTATTTCAGTTAAGTTTTTCATTTAGATTTTCTTTTTATTCTTGTTCATATAATTTATTTCTTTTGTTGTCCGAATGTTCTGTAGGGCAAACCAAACATTCAGACTATTTCTATAGACTTTATGTCCAGAAAAAAAAAAAAAATTATACAAAGACAAGAAAAATTAAATAAAAACTTTTTAACAAAACTTGTATAAAATCAAGAGCGCTAACTAAATACAATTTTTATGTATGTTATATATATATATAGTCATCCACAGACAGACTGTTTCATTGTATCACAATTCATCAGTGTGGCTAGACATCCGATTGCCTCAAGCCAGGATTGAAACCTGACTGATTTGCTATCAGTTGGAGATTTTTCCCCTCAGCTATCAGCTCCCGGCAGAGAATGCCAATTTTTATGTATTTATTTTTGAATAAACATGCCAGTGACTCTGAGTGCTTGATTCATAGAAGAGCTTTGCATTATCAGCAGTAACCATTACTGTTTACAAATTCACACTTACCTCTAAAATGTTTGACCAAATTTAATTTTTCAGTGGCGTGTATATATATATATATATATATATATATATATATATATATATATATATATATTTCTAAATAAATTCTCACTTAATAGTTGCTGACCTCAATTAAATGAATATTGCATGAAAATGTATTAAATTTTTTAGTCATAATCAACCAGTGTCTACTGGCCATTCTACAAATATTAATGGACTACTATTTAATATGGCATTGAACTGTAATTGTTTTGTGTGTCTGTGCAGCAGCATACTTCCTTAGGAGTTGTTTACTTTTATTTTTTAAATATATATATATATATATATATATATATATATATATATATATATATTCAATAAAATATAAAGTAAGTATTTTATTGAATATATTCAATAAAATATAAAGTAAGTATTTTATTGAATATATATATATGTATATATTCAATAAAATATAAAGTAAGCAACTCCTAAAGGAGTATGCTGCACAGACACACACGATATATATATATATATATATATATATATATATATAGTGAGAGAGAGAGAGTTTTAAGGTATGCTATATTTATGGGTAAAAGTGCTCATTATCAGGAATAGAGCATGTGTAAATATAAAAGTGGACACTGTGGTCGACAGTCTTGAATGAAATCTTCAGGCTATATATATATATATATATATATATATATACACACACATGATGAGTTATGAATAAACTATATGAGAGAAAGAAACCAAATATAAAGAAATAATGAAATAGATATTAATAAACCAATGATGGTAATATTAGCTGTTTCCTTATAAGGAAACATTTGCCATTTACTGACCAAGTAGTCAGTGCTACTTTTGGTTGTAATTTATAAAATCTTTCTATTATAATATTTCTGGAAAATAGTTTCCTCATGTTCACTGTTATCACTCTTTTCATTATTGATGAGGGTTTCCTTCCTCACCATTTGTTTAAAGTAGTATAGAATGTCACCATCTTGATTATATCATTATTTTCTTTCTGAGTTATATGTGTCATCCAGTTTAGTTGTTGCTACTGTTTAAAATCCTCAAATGATGTGCCTTCTGTTATTTGGTACACTTCCATGTTAGGGATTCTGTAGCACTCTCCATCAGGTTATTGTGTGATATAATGTGGAATATTAACATCTTGATTATATTGTAGACTCATCCATTTCTACCTATAACCCCTAGTAACAAAATACTCTATATCTTACGCCTACATACGGAAAACTTCGAACAATAAAAACCATACTAGTCGAATTAACAAATCT